TTTGAGCTTTTCCTTTTTTATTTTTTAAATGTTGTATTTTTTTTCCTGAACACTGCTTCAATTCATTTTTCTGCCCTGAAATTGGTTTTTTGTGTGTGTGTGTGTGTGTGTGTGTGGTACCGAGGATTGAACTTGGGTCCTTGCACCTGCAAGGCAGGCAGTGGAACCACTGAGCTAAATCCCTGGCCCTGAAATTGGGTTTTAAAAAGTCATTTTCTTAAAATGAAGACTTGAGAAGCAAAACTACTTTTTGTCACAGCTATCTCCTGGGAATTTCGGGTAAGATGGCCAGGAGATAAATAAGCCAAATGGTTAGAGAGCTCACACCTGGCTTTATTTCATATTTATACTCTGTATTTTATACTCTGGCTTTAAATTTACTAAGACCAACTCTTTATCTATATAGGGAATTAAACTCTGCAATACACTCTCATAGACATTACTTCAGTGAATTCTCAAACAATACTTTTCTCTCTAATATCACTATGATGATAACCAAGCCAGAGACAGAAACATGACTTAAAAGGAGTAACTACTGGCTTTCAGGCTTTGGCTAACATTCTCTACTTTCAAAATGGTCTTCAGTGTTCAGCTACTATCTTCTGGTCTCTACCACCACCCCAGTTGAATAAAATTAGGATATGAACTATATCCAGAGATCTAGATGAGCACTTGTCATTTCCTGAAAATGGAAATCATACAGCATTCTGTTGAACTGTTAATGGTCACTTGTGGTTATGTCTGAGTTCAGCAGGAACAAGTACTATGACTCAGTAATGCTTTCTATAGACTTGGGAAGGGGAAAGGTTGCCTTAGTGCTAGGTGCTTGCCACCTCAATGCTAAGGACCTATGGGGCTTCCACCTGATTTCAGCCTCACCATGGGCCAGAGACAGTTACCATGAGGCCACTGGAAGTAAATTCATGACTGTGTGAATATAAGGCAATTGTGCCAAATGTAAACTAATAAATTGCTTTTCCATTCAGAAAGTCGTTATTTAAAAAAAAATGTCATCTAAACTAAATAATGTGCTTAGTGACATAGCCAACTCAGATTTATATCCTAAAGTAAGCCCCTTATCTCATTGTGCACTAGTAATAAGCAGTTTGCTCCTGGATTGAACATCAGGGTAGATAATTCCTAAATATGCTCAGATGCCAAGCAAAATACTAAGAGCAGCACACAGGAACTACAGTGTCTTGAATGTGGGGAGCAAGATGGATTGCTGCAGAGATACTATCTGGAGGGGAGCAGTGCCAAGGCATGTTCTTCTCAGCTTTGGAGATGGGGACCTCAGACCCCCATGGCATCTCACTTACCGGGTAGTTTTGGGTGCAATACTCTGATCTTTATCCACAGTGGACAGATCAACATTTGTGATGCCAACTTCAGTGGAGATCTTGACTCTGAGCTAGAGTAAAATACAGAAGACAATTGTCAAGTCAACTGGTGAGTACACAAAAAGAATTAACATGTATATCCCAAGTTTCCTACTCTTAAAAAGTTAAGGTATTGAAAATTCTTGGGCCGGGGATCTAGCTCAGTGGTGCCGCACCCTGCCTTGCAACCACAAGGTTCCAAGTTCAATACCCAGTACCAAAAAAAAAAACCCTCAGAAAATTCTAAGACAAAAGTTTTTTTTTTTTCCTTTTGGTGCTAGGGATCTGGACAGATGCCTTCAAAGGTTACAGTAAAACTGACTGAGCAAATACGAGAAAAGAAGGAAAAACTGGAAACAAGTTTTTGAAAATAGGGAGGGGTGAAGGGGAAGGGAGGGAATGGGGAAAAAAGAAGAACCAAAATATATCATGTACAGGTACAAATTCCCAATGATGAATGTGTCATAATGTATACCTAAAATGTACCAATAAACTTAATGAAAAAAACAAAACAAAACAAAACACTGACTAAGGTAGTCTTTCTTGTCTCTCCCATCCTGAGGCCTAAAAAGCAACTCTTTGATTCTTATTCCTTCCTTCCTTTTCTGGCTTTTGTTGGATGTATATATATGCATACACATCTATATGGATGTATATATATACATATATATATATATTTTTTTTTTTTTTTAAAGGTGCACCTTTTCATGAGTCTTTTAAAATGAAGAGGAAAATTCTGAAGCAGCAACTTTCTGATTTATTTATTTATTTGTTTGTTTATTTATTTTGGTACCAGGGATTAAACTCAGGTCCTTGCGTTATTTTTTTGAAATAGGGTCTTGCTAGTTTGTACAGGCTGGCCTTGAACTTGTAGTGATCCTTCCTGCCTCAGGCTCCCAAATGCTGGGATCACAGGCATGTGGTACCACACCCTGCTAAAGCAGTAACTTTTTTGGGGGGGCGGGGGTACCGGGTATTGAACTTGGGACCTTGTGCTTTCGAGGCAGGCGCCAGAACCACTGAGCTAAATCCCCGGCCCAAACCAGTAACTTTTAAGTAATTCAAACCAATAAGGACTAAATTCTAATGACAGCTAATTTTCGTTCAGGGCTTACTATGTGAAAAGCACTGGCTTTGTAAAGATGATCTCATTTAATCTTCACAACAATATTATAAAGTAGTATTATTTCAAATAAGGAAATTGAAGGTTAAGAGATTAAAATGCTTGCTCAAAATTAGACAGCTAGTAAATGACAGAGCCAGTATTCAAGCTGGGGCACTCAAAATCCATGTGTGTAGGCATTTTGCTATATACCTTCCCACTGACCCTTAATCTGCCTGAAAGAATACTATAACTACCCATGAAGACCTAAGAAACTATGGTAATTATCTGTACAGTTCATCAAATGCTTATCTACCTTCTGTGCAAGTGGTAGAATTCTAATCCTTTCTTCCTCTTGAGTAAAGTATAGCCACGTGACTTGCTCTGGACAATGAAATGTATGTAGAAGTAAACTGTCACTTTTAGGTGGGAGCTGAAAGAATTTCTGTTTGATTCCCTCTTTTCCTCTGATGTGGACATAGAAAATGTACAGAAAAGCTTGCTCCTTCAGTCAGGGTCTGGGAGGAAAAAGAAGATGAAGCACAGCATCCAACTGACTCACCAGGCACTAATTTTTTTTTTTCTTTTTCTCAGTCTTTTATTTTGCTATTTGTTTGTACTTTTAAAAAAATTTTTGAGTCAAAGTCTCACTAAGTTACTAAGTTGTCCAGGCTGGGTTCAAACTTGCAATCCTCTTGCCTTAACCTCCCAGCAGGCTAAGATTATAGGCATGTGCAGCCATGCCCAGTTCCTTTACTGTTTTAAGCCACTGAGACCTGGAGTTTGCTATAAGCACAAACCAGTCCATCTTGATTCTTACAGTTTTTACATTCTATATTTTCCTTATAAGTATTTCCTCAATGAGGAGCCAGCTAAAACTAGTAAATAAGAAATTTAAAAATTAAATTAAAATAAGTGTAAATAGTCAAAAAGAGACAAAGAATGTGTTAAAAGCCTATTCATGGGAAATTTGAGTTAAAATCTAAGTCTGTGCAAATTATGCAAACCCAAGGTGCTTTATGTGCAAACATATTTTTGAGCCTTCCAAATATTTGATAGGCTTGAGTGTAATGCTTAAGGAAATCCTTATCAAATCCACTGGTTTACAGTCTAAGTCAGGATCAAGGAACAGAGATGGAAGGCTGGGCAAATAACCAAAGGATCAAGGAGCAGAGATGGAAGGCTGGGCAAATAACCGAAGGACAGAGCTTCAGCACTTTTCTAAATGTCATATATCAATGTGTGACAGCCTCAAGTCAAGGGCAAAGAAGAAAAACTAAAAAGGGATAAAGACAGCTATTAGGTAATTCTTTTTAATAGCCTTCTCTCCTGCCTCCATAATAACTATTTTGTGACAATGCCTCTATTATCAGGTTGAATAGTGTTCAGATTTGGTTTAAAAAAAAAAAAAAGAATGTAAAAGATTTATAACCAGAAGCTGTAAGGATATTACCATCTACTTTTGAATATTCAACCACCTACAGGTAGAATTATACTTAGCATCACTGCCTGTCATGAAGCCCAGGCAACTGGGTGATGATGCAATGGAAGAAGGGATGGTCACCAGGTGGAACAGACATCCCAAAGAGGGAGCTAGGAGCCTCTATTTTGGCTCTCTGAGCTCTCTAAACAGACTCACAACTCACAGGCTCAGAACCCGAGCAAGTATTGCTATATGCAGCTTAGCCAAGAGGAGTACTCACAGAAATTCCATCTGAAGACAAACAAGTGGAAGGGTTAAGCAAAGAAGCAGCCAAAGAGCTTTGACTGGGCTGCTAGCTTTTAAAAGAGAGGCACTCGCTGGGACCACATTCCCTCCATCCTATCACAGGTAGAGTGCCTTTGTGCAGGGGATGCACAGATGATAATATATACTTCCTGTGCCATACCCAAACCATAATTAGAACAGGCTGTTGCTTTATGGAGGAATGTACAAAGTGCTGGGAAAGTGAAAGTGCACAAAGACTATGACTCGTGTGCCTGGGGTGGCCCTTGACTGGAGAATGGAAAACACTACACAGCAGGAAGATGAAGAGGTAATTCAGACCTTAGGCAGTTCTGGGAGAAGCAGGAAATTAGTAATACTCCATGCTATAAAAATAATGTGCCTGCAAGTTAACTACTCTGCAATCATTATCAACTTTAACCAGATAATTCCCTCTTCATTTCTATGAATCATTCTCTTAAGGACTCACTCATTTAATTTGTAAATGTGATCTTGACATTATCATCCCACCTGAATATCCATAAACAGGAGACTAGCTAGATAAATGATGATACATGCACACTGTGAATTACTATGGAGCAATTAAGGAGAGTCAGATAAAAGTCTATGGATAGATATGGAGCTATTACCTCCTACTTTTGATTACACAGTCACTCTAGTTGCAGAATTATATTTGGCATCACTGCTTGTCACTGAGTCTAGGCGACAGGGTAAATTATTGCAGGAGTGTTGTTGGGGGAGTTATGGGGTGGCCTTCAAGTTGTTAAGATCCTCAAGGGTAAAGCTGGGAGCCTCTACTTTGTGACAAAAATAAAGAATACAGCTCTTTTTATCAAAAGATCCCTCTGTGTACATAAGAAAAAATACCAGGCGAGGATTCTACCACTGAGCTACAACCCCAGCTTATTTTGAGACAAGGTCTTGCTAAGCTGCCCAAACTAGCCTTGAACTTGTGATCCTCCTGCCTCTGCCAATTCAGCAGTTGGGATTAACAGGCATGTACCAACATGTCTAGCTTTGTACTTTAAAAAAATTTTAACTACATGCATATTTACCCCAATTTTTTAAATACAGGGATTATCTGGACAATGAGATTATGGGTCACACACTGTTGTCTTTATATTACTCTTTATATTAAAAATATCACCCAATATACAGAGCCTGCCCAAAAAATGTATACACACTTTGGGAACAGAAAAACTTGTATAAATATTTTAATTCACACCAGACATTGACTCCCAGTAAACTGACTCCTTTGTCCACACACACATTATGATTTTCATGATGTCTCAATAAATTTAGTATCAAAATATTTATATAAATATTTCTCTTCCTGAAGTATGCATACATTTTTTGGTGGACTCTGTATAAAGTTAAAACAATCAATCTTCTATTTTAGCAAATGGATATACACAAACTGATTTTTTTTTGAGGTGCTGGGGATCAAGCCAGAGCCTTGTGCATGCTAGGCAAGCACTCTACCACCGAGCTATATTCCCCAAAACAGATAATTTAAAGAACTGTGTAACTCTCCTCAGTGTATCCAAATCACAGTGATAAGGAAGCCATCAACATTGGGGTTTTCTCTTGGACTCCTGATTACTGGCTTTCAGTAATAATGTGGCCACTAGGGCTGTAAATCAAGATACTGCAGGGCCGGGGATTTAGCTCAGTGGTTTTGACGCCTGCTGCGCAAGCACAAGGACCCGAGTTCGATCCCCAGAACCAAAAAAAAAAGATACTGCAGCATTTTTGTTCTAAAGACATTGTGAGTGTTCCCACACTATACAGACACATGGAATGAGCACAAGACAAACTTCAGTCCACTGGAGTAATTTCTGGTTTGTTCTCTTATTTTAAAAGGCTCCCTAAGGAACAGCTTTCTCTGCAGCATAGAAATACTGTAGGATGATTAGTGAGTAGTCTAAAGAAAATCCTTTTGCTCCTAATATCTTGCTACAAATGGATCTCTGGAAATACTCAAAAGTAAAGTGTTTTTATGTTACTTTTTAAAGCAAACTGAACAATAAAAACTATAATTTTTTTCAAAGCTCTTTAAAGAATTCAGTGTAGGATCCTTATTGGTTAGTTGCTTCCTCCTTCAAACTAAAAGTGTACAATTAGTTTCCCTAGATTAAAAAAAAAGAAAAGCAGCTTGTTTCTCCACTTTAAATGCAGCTAATCCTGTTTTACATGAGATCATG